ACCCCCTCCCCCCTCAGGGTGCCGCTCCCTCAGGTGTGTCCCAGGTAGACCCGGTTGAGCCTGTCGAGGTAGCTGTCGACTCTCGTCCTGCTAGGGGTGCTGAGCCTGAGCGTGCGGAGCCTGGGCGTGCAGAGCCTGGGGGTGCTGAGCCTGAGGTTGCTGAGTCTGGGGGTGCTGAGCCTGCGGGTACGGAGCCTGGGGGTGCTGAGCCTGAGGGTGCTGAGCCTGAGAGTGCTACGTCTGAGGGTACTGAGCCTGGGGGTGCTGTGACTGACCGTGCGGCGCCTGGAGGCGCTCCCTCTTCACAGCAGCTGCGTGAGTGGTACTCGCGGTACTGCAGCCTCAGGAGGGGCGCTTCTGGGGCAAGGGGTGCTGCTGGAGCTGGTGTTCGTGGTTCCCCGCCTAGGCGGGAGCCGCCCTCTCCCCAGCGGCTCCGAGAGTGGTACGCTCGGCGCTGCAGTCTCCGGAGTGGCGCTGCTGGTGCTTTGGACCCTGGAGTTGGAGCTGCTGCTGGTGCTGAGGACCCTGGAGTTGGAGCTGCTGCTGGTGCTGAGGACCCTGGAGCTGGAGCCGCTGCTGGTGCTGCGGACCCTGGAACTGGTGCTGCTGGCGCAGGAGCTGCTGGTGGTGCTGCTGGAGGTGCTGCTGGTGCTGGAGCTGCTGGAGACGCTGCTGGTGCTGGAGGTGCTGGAGGTGCTGGAGGTGCTGGTGCTGCTGGCGCAGAAGCTGCTGCTGGAGCTGCTGGAGGTGCTGCTGGTGCTGGAGCTACTGGAGGTACTGCTGGTGATGGAGCTGCTGGAGCCGCTGGTTCTGGAGGTGCTCGTGCTGGAGGTCCTGGAGCTGCTGGGGTTGCTGGTGGTACTGCGGGAGTTGTAGCTGGAGACCCTGGGGCTTAGGGTACTGGTGCTGTCTCTGCTGGTTCAGGAGGTGCTGAGCGGCCGCGGCCGTACTACGTTCCGCTCCTTCAGGAGGTTCTTGGCCTCCCGCCCTCTCCTGGTCCTACTCCTCCCCTACTGAGTCCACCGCCTGTCCAGTCGCAGTCACAGTTACAGCCAGCCTCTCCACTACCTGGTCCTTCTCCTTACGCTGAGCCGACGGGAGGTTTTACGGAGCGTCGTGAGCCTGAGTCTCGTCCTCCGTCGCCTGAGTCTCGTCCAGAGTCGTCTGAGTCGCGTCCAGAGTCGCCTGTCCGCGCTGTCCGCGCTGGTCGTCGTGCTCCGCGTCAGCGTCCTCCTCCTGTCCTTGGCACTCACTATATGACCCTGCGTCCTTCCACTGCTCCACAGCGTGTCCCTCTCCCGTCTCCTCCAGCGTCCTCTCTTCCTGCTCTTGCTGACCCGGAGTCTGACTCTCTTCGTGCTGCCAGTCCTACTGTCACGCGTCTCCTCGCCACTGTTGTCACTGACCCTTCCTTTGAGTCCTCTGCTGCGTCTGCTCTAGTCGCTGAGCTTGTTGACTTTGCTGCCGCCTGTCGTCTAGACTACGCCGCTAGCCTTGTTGCTGAGTCTGAGTCTGTCTGTCCTCCGTCCGTCGGGGGTGAGTGTGCTCTTGGCACGGACGTCCTTGAGGACAGACAGGAGGAGTTTGAGTGCTTTGCCGCTGCTTTACCTCATCTCGTGTCCATGCTGATTGCCCCTGAGGGAGACCCGGATGCACCAGACATCCCGACCTCACGCTCTTACGCAGAGGCGATGGAGGGTCCCTACTCCTCTCAGTGGCAGACAGCCATGGACGCAGAGATGGCTTCTTGGAAGTCCACAGGCACCTACTTAGACGAGGTTCCCCCACCTGGGGCGAACATCGTCAGTGGCATGTGGATTTTCAGGGTGAAGCGGCCGCCGGGTTCTCCGCCTGTCTTCAAGGCGCGTTACGTTGCACGAGGCTTCAGTCAGCGAGAGGGAGTTGACTTCTTCCAGACCTTCTCCCCGACCCCGAAGATGACCACTCTTCGGGTTCTGCTGCACGTCGCCGCTCAGCGTGACTACGAGCTCCACTCTCTTGACTTCAGCACTGCGTTCCTACAGGGCAGCCTGCACGAGGAGATCTGGCTGCGCCGCCCACCTGGCTTTACTGGGTCGTTCCCTCCTGGTACCCAGTGGAGCCTCCGGCGGCCAGTCTACGGTCTCCGCCAGGCACCCCGTGAGTGGCACGACACACTGAGGACTACTCTTGCTGCTCTTGGGTTTGCTCCTTCTACTGCTGACCCGTCGCTGTTTCTACGCACCGACACCACTCTGCCGTCGTTCTACGTTCTCGTGTACGTAGACGACTTGGTCTTTGCTACAGCTGACACTGAGGCACTCGCCCACGTGAAGTCGGAGCTGCAGAAGAGACACACGTGCACAGACCTGGGTGAGCTGACAAGCTATCTTGGCTTGCGGATCACCCGGGACAGAGCACAGCGCACCATCACCTTGACTCAGTCACACATGGTGCAGCAGGTCCTTCAGCGCTTCCGCTTCACGTACTCCTCGCCTCAGCCCACTCCTCTGCCTACCGGTCACTCGCTCTCAGCTCTGCCTTCGGATGAGTCCGTAGAGCCGAGTGGCCCGTATCCAGAGCTTGTGGGCTGCCTCATGTACCTGATGACCTGCACTCGACCTGACCTTGCATACCCTCTTAGCATCCTAGCACGCTATGTCGCTCCTGGCCGTCACCGGAAGGAGCACATGGATGCAGCTAAGAGGGTGTTGCGCTACTTGTGCAGTACGTCGGGCATGAGGCTTGTGCTTGGAGGACGGGCTCGAGTTGTCCTCACTGGGCACTCAGACGCTTCTTGGGCTGACGACCAGGCTACGCAGCGGTCGTCTCAGGGTTACACCTTCAGCCTTGGCTCTGGTTCGGTTTCTTGGCGTTCTACACGCTCGTCTTCAGTTCTCAGCTCCAGTTGTGAGGCTGAGATCTACGCCACAGCCATGGCTGCACAGGAGTTACGCTGGCTCACCTACCTGCTGACCGACCTGGGAGAGCGGCCTCGTTCTCCTCCAGTGCTGTACGTCGACAACAAGGCCGCCATTTCCTTGTGTCAGGAGCACAGACTGGAGCACAAAAACTAAGCACATCGCTCTGCGCTACTTCCTTGCTCGAGAGCTGCAGCAGCGTGGTCAGCTTCGTCTTGCTTACGTGGCCACTCGGGCCAACACTGCTGATGTGTTCACCAAGGCGCTTCAGCCTTGTGATCATCAGCGTTTCTGTATTGTTCTAGGCCTTGTGCCTACTGTCCCTCACTTGCTCACTTCTTGACTCTGCTTGTACTGTGATCTCTATATATATACCTGCATGCTTACACTTGCTAGGTTGTGATCACTGTACCTCTTGTTATATTATCAAACTGCATGTGAACTGGTCTTGTGACCGCTTGCTTGTGCTCGGAATTTGTGTGGTATCCTTGAGATCCACCCTGAGCTTGTTTTGCTTTGCTTTGCTTTGACTGGTCTTGTGACCATCTGGTTGTCTCCCACTTAGCCTATGGGGGTGTGTCAAACATTGTATATGTTTATATTCTGTAGGCTATAGTGGGTTTAGCCTTAGGGGGTACAACATTCTAGGGTTTCCTACTTGTACTCCCAATCTTGTTAGTCCAATCACCCTTGTTCATTCTGACAATCGGCTACGTCGACGCAGATCACACCGGCGACTCTGACAACAGGCGCTCGCGCACCGGCTACATCAACTGACTTGAGCCTATCGGGCCCATCTCTTGGCAGTCGAGCAAGCAGGAACTAATTGCTCTCTCCTCAGCTGAAGCAGAATACATTGCACTCTGCTCAGCCACCAAGGAAGGACTATACCTTCGCGAACTGCTGGAAGAAGCAAAGGTGGCCCAGTTACCCAGCTTCTCCCTGTTCTGCGACAACCAGTCTGCAATCCGCATAGCCAACAAAAACGGATTCGCGAACAGAACGAAGCACATCGCCCTGCGGTATTTCTTCGTGAAGGACGAGATCGAGAAGGGGAGACTCGAGCTGTCCTACTACCCCACATCTGAGATGGCAGCTGATTACTTGACCAAGAAGCTTAGAAAGCAGAAGTTCGAGTACTGCATGCTGCTGACTGGACAAGGCCACGTCACCAGCAACGACACTCCAGGAGCGAAGGGGAGTGTTGGAAACAAATGATTTAAGCGCTTTTGCTGTGTCGAAACATCAAGCCTTAAACGAAGCGAAGCACAAACGAAACATCAGCGAGTCAACCATCAGAGGTTGACAACTAAAGCAACCGCTGGAGGTTACGCGAAGGTAAAAGGTCAGCGACCTTTGACTTGACAAATACAGCGCGACAGCAAGGACAAACAACTGTCTCGATACAGAGCAGTTGCCCAAGTCGTCACTGTATCGAACCGCAACAGCAACAGTAAAACAGTTATTAGCTGTATCTCTTCATATTCCTTGTACTCTTATAAAAACCTTGTATCTCCTTGTTTTAATCAATCTACTTTGCCCTCACATACCAGCGCAAGGTGGTTCAAGGACTTATCATTAAACGCTTCCGCTATTACATTGATCCTACCAGAGTTTAGTCCTGCAAAGATCCAAAGGGCTTTTCTCAGCCCAACAAGACAGAGAGGACATGTTTCCTGGAAACAATCTCATCGGGACAAAACTTTCAAAGAGTACCGCAAGCCCACAGTGAACATATTTTTTCCTTCACGTGCGGATCCGGTGGTTGCACGGCACACATATGTAGGGGCGCAAAGGTTGTTCTTGTGCTTGGACATTGTTACATATGGTAACCAGACCGCTGATTACTTCGGGTGCTGGGATTGCTCAATTTATGTCTGACCCGGTACAAACGACGTGACTAAGGTTTCTGTGATAGTGCATCCCAGAATGCACCCCAAATCTTCCTTTGCTGTCTGTCACCAAAGATGGCTTTTACTCCCACACTCCCTAGCTGGGCTGGTCAGCTCACACACAACAGCTAGTGGGTGCTGCTGGCTAAAGTGACGGAAAGGCCAAGCAAATGGTGCATGCCTGCCACGGTACGGTAATTTCTGGTGCCTATTTGTATATTTTCAGTCCATACACCTGGTTGATGCTCCTGGGGAGCACAGACCCGTCACTGTCAATCACATGCTCACACTCGTGCAAATCCAGCCTCTGCAGAGCCTTCAGCTCACTCAACTCTCCTGGTAGCGCCTGCAGCTTCGCACAGCCTGTCAAGCACAGGGATTTGAGTCCCGTAAGCCGCGCAAAGTCGGGGCACAGCGAGCGGATGGAGCAGTGCGGAATCGCCAGCTGGTTCAGGCAGGTAAGGCGGGTGAGAGAGGCAGGCAGCTGCTCAAGCTGCTCGCAGAGAATGAGTCGCAGCTGCTGAAGCTTGGACAAGGCACCGATGCCATCTGGGAGAGAGGCCAGTTGGGGAGCATAGTGAACCTCCAAGCTCGTGAGGTTCTCAAGAGCTGTGACACTCGCTGGCAGCTCCCTCAATTCGTCCGCGCATTTCAGCTTCAGCTTCCGCAGCTGCGGCAACGCCGTCCCCGTGTCGGGCGGCAGCGTTTGGACGTTTCCCGCGCCGTGAACAATCAGAGTGCGCAGCCGAGACAGAAACGTCAGAGCGAAGGGAAGCTCCTCGGCATCGTCTGCCAATGAGAGCCTTAAATGCTCCAGATGAGACAGGCTGCGGCTCACAGCTTTCCCACACGCCACAGCAACCCTGTCCAGGCAAAGCGTCCGAAGCCCCGTCAGCATGGAAACATCGGGCAGATCCATGGCATGACTGTAGCTTCCCCAGCTCAGAGTTCCAAGCGAGGCCGGCAGGACCTGAGGAGGGTGTTTCAGTGTGTCACAGGAGGTCACCGCAAGCCGCTTGAGCCTCGTCAGGGCGTCCAGCCTTGTGGGCACAGAGGCGAGCTCTCTGCAGCCGGAGAGTGTGAGAGTTTCGAGGCGAGTCAGGCACGTCACCAACGCTGGAAGGGCCGTGAGATGCGAGCAGCAGGAGACGTGCAGCTCCCGCAGGTAGCTCAGCCCTCCCACGCCCTCTGGGAGCGTTTCCACGTGGCACAGGTCCAGCTCCAGCCTTGTCAGCGAGGAGATCTCGGTTAAGGAGGACGGGAGATGGCGCTGCTGAAAGTTCTCCCTCACAAGAAGCGTCTGGAGGTTACCCAGACGGCCAATGTCCGCTGGGAGCGTCACTTTCCCGAGGCAGAGGGTCCTGAGGGCTGTCAGGCAGCAGAACCCTGCTGGCAGCTCGCGGATTGGCTCGCAGCCGAGCAGGAAGAAGGTTTCTAGGGAGGTGAGCTGGCAGATGGAGTCAGGGAGGCGGGAAAGCGGCAGCCGTTCCAGAACCAGAGTTTTCAGGGCAGATAATCCCCCAAAGTTCTCAGGCAGACGGCGAAATTGGTCGCAATTGAGGAGTGACAGGGACTCGAGGTGATTCAGGGAAGTGAAACCCTCTGGCAGCTCCTGGAAGTAATCGCACATGCGAATGGTGAGCTCGAGAAGACATGGCAGCAGCTCTGCAATTTCGTCCGGAAGTCGCTCCAATTCTCCGCAATACGATATCTGCAACCGTTCCAGGCTGCTGCATGGAAAGATCGGGAGCAACACGTGGCTGATCTCCAACGATTTTATCAACAGTAACTGTGCGATGGCGAAATCAGCCGAGCCTGCGTCGTCAGGAGAAAAGCAGGTCCGGATAGAGACGGAAAGGCTGGTAATGCTGGGAAGCCGACGCACGTTCGAGAGCTGCTCGATGCTCAACTCCACGGAGGCGATATGGAGAGTGGTGAGAGCGGTGAGGCTTTCCAAATCTGGATCTTCTAAGGCAGAGGCGGCTGTTAAGGCGAGGGTGTGTAGGCGTGTTAGGTGGAAGAAAGAAGGCGGTAGCTCGACGTCCCAATGGAGGCAGAGGAGTGACAGCTGCTCGAGCTGAGAGCATTGCTTGAAGAACCGATCCAGGCCGGCTTCGGTGATCGGGTGCTCATGCTTCCACCCGGCGTAGTTCGAATCGTGCGTGATTTCGCTTCCTACGTGGAGGATTGTCAGCTTAGGACATGACGATGCGAGGTGAAATAGGAAGTTGTCGTCTAGGGTTTCCACGCTGCCGTCGCACAGATGGAGGTGGGTGAGGTTCGGGAAGCGAGCGACGGCGTGCGAGAGTTCTTGGAGGGAAATGACGCGATTTCGTTCCACGAGGAGGGTGGAGACGTCGCGCTTAGCCAGAGCGCGCCAACGACGGCACACGGACGAGAGGAGGGCGATCTTGGCAGCGCTTGGAACGGCGGAGGGAGTTGGAATTAGAGTCGTCTCTTCCTCGGGATCAGAATCTTCGTCGATCCGGATTGAGCGAAGGTACTGTGGCTTCGGCCACAATAGATGGCGAGACCATAACGCGTCACTGTCAGAAAGCCAAGATGTGTTCTCCTCGCAGTGCCATAGTATCTTAGCGAGGACGTCGTTGGGAAGATCGTTGATATGCGTCACCGACTGCATTTCCTTGGGCGCGATTATAGTGGCAAGTTTGAAAAGCAAATGAGATCCCGTGACTTCGAAGCCTAGACTGACCAAAAAGTTCAAACGAGACTAAATACGAGTGTGACGTGACAGCACGAGGGAAAGCGCGGGAAAGCAGTGAAAGTCGACTCTAGAGGCGTGAAACGCGGTGGAAGTGGTGGAAGTAGTGTTGCTCTAAACAGACTCAGAGGAGGTATCTATCCGAGTGACCAGAGAAAGGAGTGCCGCATGGATAACTCAAATTCATGGCGTGCCGTGTTGTGGAAGGTGTTTCTGTGCAAGCAGATCATCCGCTCAACAGGAAGGAGAGTGGAGCTCGGGTGTGATGTGGCGGGGGGAGCCCCTCCCCTGACGAGCTGGGGGGACGAGCGAGAGGTGGCGGAGACGAGTTGAAGACTTCAGCTGAGTCCTGCGGTGTATGGCGGGCGGGTGCGCGGAAGCAGAATTGCTGCAGAGGTGCTTGCGAGGACTTCTGTCTGGTGTTCGTTTTCGCGTGCACTGTACGAACGGGATTCTGTACCAAACATTTTTCGCTGAATGGTAACGGTTTTTTGAACAAGGTGGTGCGAGGTCCTGGTGTCCGACATTGGTTCCAGAGTTGCTGGAAACTTGCTTTCGCAAGCTAGTGCGAGAAGATCATGACGACGAGGCAGCGATAGCACGGCGATGGTGTCTCTTGTCGCAACATGCTGCTCAGGAACTTCGATGTTACCGAGTGTCTGCAAGTGATTCGCCACATACACTAGCCAGCCCGTTGTGCGAACTTTATTGAACAGAGCAACGTCAATTCCACTGTTCCACGCCTTCAACAAGCATCTATGGCATTTCAAGCATGGACTTGAGTCCATGTTCTAGGCCAGAACAAATTAGCACACACTAGAAAAGCTGACTAACCGCTCAAGAGGCCTTCAGTGCAGTTATTAACTCCTCTTGCAAACGTAGTTGTTAGCGAGACACAAGTGATTCTATGGATGCCGTTCGGTATCTTTCCCGTAGTACTCAGTCTCTCGCTTGCATCAACTCGCACATCCTGCATGCGAAGCCTCGTAGACGAGGATCGGAAGTAAGCTTTCGAGCTCTATTCCCTTTTTTACGCTTCCCTTTCAACGACCTAGTTAACTTCATCTCATCCCTCCTGACTTTTTTCCTTCTTATCTGAATGCTTGTCCCCACTCCTTTCCGTTCCTCATCGTTTCGGCCTTTTTTTGATCCGTAGCGCATCTCTCAGCTTCGCGCGTAACCAGTTCGCGCCTCAGCTCTCAGCCCCGTTGTTGGCCTCCCTCACATGCTTTCCGCTTCGTTCCTCCATTTCTCCTTCCTGCTCCTGCCCTCATCTGCTTCCCCCGCTCTACGGAAGCCTTTCCTTCTCGCATGTGACTTCGATGCTTGTCCGCGAGTCCGTCTTCTTGCAACTCCCCTCCTCCTCCTTCCCTCATCGCTCTTTCCCAATTCCCCCGCATCAACACTCCGACCCTTTTCATACCCGCATGCGATGCTAACTCGGTCGCTAACTTGTCGCCAACATACAGCCGTCGCAGAGCCAGCAGGGGAGCGCAGGCTGGCGGAGAAAGTCGGGCGACTACTGCATTCCTCTCCTCCCCTCCTTCCCCACGCCCCTCCTTTCCTCCCCTCCTTCCCCACGCCCCTCCTTTCCTCCCCTCCTTCCCCACGCCCCTCCTTTCCTCCCCTCCTTCCCCACGCCCCTCCTTTCCTCCCCTCCTTCCCCACGCCCCTCCTTTCCTCCCCTCCTTCCCCACGCCCCTCCTTTCCTCCCCTCCTTCCCCACGCCCCTCCTTTCCTCCCCTCCTTCCCCACGCCCCTCCTTTCCTCCCCTCCTTCCCCACGCCCCTCCTTTCCTCCCCTCCTTCCCCACGCCCCTCCTTTCCTCCCCTCCTTCCCCACGCCCCTCCTTTCCTCCCCTCCTTCCCCACGCCCCTCCTTTCCTCCCCTCCTTCCCCACGCCCCTCCTTTCCTCCCCTCCTTCCCCACGCCCCTCCTTTCCTCCCCTCCTTCCCCACGCCCCTCCTTTCCTCCCCTCCTTCCCCACGCCCCTCCTTTCCTCCCCTCCTTCCCCACGCCCCTCCTTTCCTCCCCTCCTTCCCCACGCCCCTCCTTTCCTCCCCTCCTTCCCCACGCCCCTCCTTTCCTCCCCTCCTTCCCCACGCCCCTCCTTTCCTCCCCTCCTTCCCCACGCCCCTCCTTTCCTCCCCTCCTCGCCTCAGGTCTGCCCGCCTCGCATTCAAGTGCGATGCGCGGCCGCGGATTCGTCAAGCGGCCATGGCAGGGCGAGCAGGGAGGCGCAGGCCGCCAAGGAGGCCATGGAGATTCTGTGGCGCTCGCACAGCGGAGGCAGTGCTGCTGACGGGCTGAATCCAAACGGGGTGAACCACAGCGGAGGAGTGAGCCACGGTGGGATGCAGCAGGCTCACGCGCAGCCGCTGTCCATGCCTGGCGGGGGGTTTGAGTATGGCGAGGAGGAGGGGGAGGGTGCGGGCCCAGGGGGGTTCACCCCAGAGAGCGTGCGATCGCTGCTGGAGGCGCTCGAGTTGGAGGCGGCAGAGGAGTCGAAACACGCCCTCAGGTGAGGAGCAAGCACGGGCTGAGATGAGCTGCACGCGCTCAGGTGAGCAGCACGCCCTCAGGTGAGCAGCACGCCCTCAGGTGAGCAGCACGCCCTCAGGTGAGCAGCACGCCCTCAGGTGAGCCACACGGCCTCAGGTGAGCCACACGGCCTCAGGTGAGCTACACGGCCTCAGGTGAGCTACACGGCCTGAGTTGAAAGGTGGGAGAGGGTTAGGAACAGGTATGCCAAGTCTTTCACAATGCGCTTCGTCTCTCCTCTCTCCAACTCCTCCTCCCCCACCCTTTAGCATCATAGACAGCGTGCTGTGTGGGTGGAGTGGACAAGCGCATTTACCCAGGCCCAGTATTCTTAACTAAACCACCAATTCTACCACTAAGTTTTCCACGCTAGGGTTTAAGCAAGCCTATTACTGCTACAATATTTATAACTAAACAAGTTGCTGCCATGCAAACTCATGCCTCCTTAGTGAAAAACTATTGGACTCCCATTCTCCCCCACCGCTTAGCATCACGGACAGCGTGCTGTGTGGGTGGAGTGGACTTACCCTACCCAGGCCCTCTCCCCTCTCCCCCCCCCCCTCTCCCTCCCCCTTCTCCCTCCCGCCACGGCAGCATCGTGGACTGTGAGGGTGGACAAGCGCAGCTAGCCACTCTACCCAGCCTACCCCCCCCTCCACCCAGCCTACCCCCCCCCCCTCCCTCCCGTTCTATCTCCACCCCCTTCC